CTCGGAGGAACTCTGCAGGGTTCACCAAACGGGGAACTGAACTGACAGAGCTGAAAAAAGAGAGCGCATCTCTGTGTTAGGGAGAATGGCGCAGCAAGCATGTTTCAACACCCAAACCGAGTTGTTTACTCAATCACTAAGGGTTACCTAATACCCTTGAGTAAACCGGCTCCACTCGCAGATTGTAAAAATTTGCAAATGTATTAGGTGTTGCCCAGCCTGCAGCTTTGCAAATGTCTGTCAGAGAGGCACCGCGTGTTAACGCCCAAGAGGATGCGACGCTCCATGTGGAGTGCGTTCTCACCCCTGGGGGACATGGCATCCACTATCCAGTGGGCCAACCTTTGTTTAGATACAGTACTTCTCTTCTGCCAACCACCATAGCAGACATAGAGGTGGTCAGAGGATCTAAAGCTCTGAGTGCGGTCCACATAAGTTTGCAAAGCGCGAAAAGGACACAATAACGAAAGTGCTGGGTCTGCCTCCTTAAACGGCATGGTAGGAACCTTGGGCACATAGCCGGGCTGGGGTCCCAAAACATTGTGAGAGTAGGCTGGCCTGAATTCTAGGCATGAGTCACTGACCGAAAATGCTTCTAGGTCCTCGACCCTCTTAATCAATGCCAACTCGACTAGCAGACCGGTCTTCAGTGAATGACTCCAGAAGAGCAGATGGCGAGCTGAGACATGCGGCAGGAGTGTATACACTTCATACGATTGATAGACGCTATATAGACGGTTTATAAACGTCTTGACCTGCAAGTGTTGCCCTTCAGCACTAGTAAAAAGCGGCGCAGAGCGAGAAACACTGCCAACAGCTCTAGGCAGTTGATATGCCAATGCAGCTGGGTTCCCTTCCACAGGTCCGCAGCAACATGCCCACAACAAACGCCCCCCCCCAACCCCTACTGGAAGCATCTGTCAAAACGACAACATGCATGGCCAGTAGGAAGGAGGGGTCCCTCCAGGGGGTGAGGGCACGGCGACACAGCAGAGTGACAGTCAATCTGTGTGTGTCCGCGTGACATGCGCATCTGGGGACCCGATCGTGAAGCCAATGCTGTAATGGTCTTATGGAGCAATCCGATTGGTGTGGCTGCGGCTGCAGATGTATTATGTCCCAGCAGCCTCATGGTGATCGAGTCTAGAGCAAAGGAGATGCTCTGCACAGGGGCATGCTTGCTCTTTTCTCGGTTGACCTGAAACCCCAACAGGTGGAGGTGCCGGAGCACCTTGTCTCTGTGCATACTCAATTGCTACCGAGAGTGGGCTAAAATCAGCCAGTCATCAAAATAACTGAGTATGCGGATGCCCGCGAGCCGAAGGGGCACAAGGGCACCCTCCGCGAGCTTGGTAAAAACCCGCGGAGACAAAGAGAGCCCGAAGGGGATGACCTTGTACTGCCATGCTCGACCTTCGAACGCAAACCACAGAAACTGCCGGTGGTGTGGCAGTATGGAGACATGAAAGTATGCGTCCTTCAGGTCTACTGCTGCAAACCAATCCCGAGGACGAACGCATCGGATGATGCACTTCTGTGTAAGCATACTGAAGCGCATACTGTGAAGGAGGACAGCAATCTCCTCTCGCAAGACAGGGGCGGACACAGGACTGACCCTGGTGAAATACACACCCGTGAACATGGGAGGCCATTTCACGAACTGTATTGCATAGCCGAGTCTGATCGTACGGATGAGCCATTGCAATGGGCCGCTAACCAGGCAGGCAGAGCCCTCCCAAGTGAACTCCCCCGCGCGATCGCTGACGTGCCCGTGGTGGGGCAGCATGGAGTGGGTGGGCTCGCCCGGGGAGCATTGGGGTCCTGCAAGAGAGAGAGAAGCTTGCTCTCGTCTCGCACTTGAATTCCGGAGGAGGGACTGAGAGAGGGAGAGAAATGAGACCCTTGGCGAAATGCACCAATCCTGCGGGCTTGAAGGCATGGGCTGTCACATCCGGGGAAGGGGAAAATGCTCTTTCTTTGAGGATTCGATGGCGTTTTTTTTTTTTTTTTTTTTTACGCCGTGAAATGAAGAGCCTCGCCCTCCAGCGGGGAAAGAGCAAATTCCTTCCTCTCCAGATGGCCCATCTCAGGAATGCTTCACGGTCCATTTACCGAACTCAGCGGCACCCTGGGGTGGGGGGCGCTGGTTGCCTGCGAGATGCTCGGCACAGCCGCTTGGCCAGAGGCACAAGCGGGCTGGCGGGGCAAAAAGCTACAGGCGAGTGCCCTCTGAGAAAAGCAGTGGATGTGGATGGCTTGGTGGGAAGGAGCGGTTTTACAATCCCGCCGATAGATTATATACCCATCGCCTCTGACTGGTCTATTACTGGCGTGAATTCCTGGCCGAGTTTACAGACGGTGTCGCTGAACAGGCCAGCCTGGGATATGGGTAAGAAAGCGAACTTTGTCAACATCACGCACATCACCAGGTTTAGCCTGAGGTGGCGTTCCTGGCCACTAATGTGACCATCGTCCTTCACAGCTTTTTCCCTGGTTTGTCACAATTGTCACAATTTTAGGTGGTGTGTTTAATGTGTTTTATGTTTAATAAAATAATTTCTAATTGCATCTTTAGTGATTTTCAAGTAATTACTTCAACTAATCTTGTCCCAATAGGTGGATTTAGAGGTTTTTGCATAAAAAGCAGAAGTGGATTTAGCTGGTTTTGATGCAAAAGAAAATTTACCTTGGTGAAAACCAAAGAATTATCTAAAGTGACATTTAAAAAAAAAGGTGTTTTACTTAGTAGCTAATAACCTTATCATTACATATTAAATGAAACTTCTGAACCTAATTTATAGGGGCCTGATAGAAAATGATAATTTCCAAAAAAAAAAAAAAAAAAAAAATAGGTCAGATGGATTTAGAGGGTTTTGCATCTGAACTCTTCATATATTGAGGTACGTTTTCCGAATGAGCCTGGGATGGGTAAAGTTGAATGCAATTGACTCTTTTCTATAAAGCAATAGTATTCAGCGAGTCTAGCTCCACCCTTTTGGTACAGTGCTGATGTGCTATTGTAGGTAACGCTTGTGAAAGAGTCCTGAAAAAGTAGTACAGTACAGCTCACTATTTTACAAAAATGAGCCAAATGTGAACTAATAATCTATGTTGGATTATTAGTTAATCCACTAAAGAAAAAAAAAAAAAAAACCTTTTTGGTAATTTTTAATCAAAATCATACCATTTGCTTGCTCACCGGAACAGAAGTGCTTTTCTGATGACATCGCTTTGGGGGCTTGGACAAAATATATTTAGCCACGCCCCTCCAACAGTTAGTTTGCTGGTGTGAAAGATGAAAGGAGGAGGAAAATAAAATAAAATAACTACTCAATATTCTGTTTCAGAAGGAAATACATCATCATAGTGAAATAAAAGTCTGCAGCAACCTCTGGTACATCAGTCTTTAAATTGAACAAGAACAACAACCATGTTGTTTAACCTCTAGTTGTTATAGTAATGTTTTGGTATGGGGTAGCGTGTTTTTTCATACTCATTAATTGCCAGCCAATACAACTTAATGGTGAAAATGTGTTCCTAAATTCTTTGAAAAATTATAACTATTATTACTATTAGTAAAATAATACTTATTTTATTATCCATGATACCAAGATTACCATATGTATAAATACAATTTTCCTGAATGGATAAAATACAGGGTGATTCAAAAGGAATACCACAACTTTCGGGTTGATGTCACTCGAGTGTCTGAAGGGGGTCTTATTGGATATCTATAATAAATAAATAAATAAAAAACAAAACTTTGTTAAGTAATTAATCTATTCACATTGATTAATTACCCAAGGTGCCATCATGTTTCTTTGATTAAATACAGATTTTCAAAGTTGTGGTATTCTTTTTGAATCACCCTGTAAAGTGTAGAAAAATCAAATGTGACTTTTCATAATTTAAGAGATTTATATTAAAGTGAAAATTCAGCGATCATTTACTCACCATCCACTTCTAAACCTTCTCGAGTTTCTCTCACAAAAGAAGATGATTTGAAGAATGTTCCACATTAACTTCAGTGTCATTGGCTACCAGTTTCCAACATTCTTTACAGTACTTTAAAAACTGATAGAAAAAAGGAACTGTAACCGGGTGAGTAAAGCTGAACCATTACTTAGCTTTTAAAGTGTTAACTGATCAACGTTACTCATGGTTTAATGCACACTGAAATAAATTATGTCAGAAAAATTGTTATGAGTTGAATTTAAACAAATTAAATGTAGCAATGTTTAACTTAATTTGTTTGTTTGAATTCAGTGCAAATAAATTGTTTGCAATCACTTAACAAAAAAAAAAAAAAAAAAAAAGTAAATCCAGGGAATCATGTTTGAATAATTTTTTTCAGTGCATCCTGACGAAATATTGCAGTTTCTTTAAAAACAATCTCTTAACAATCTATGTTCATAAATTAATGTACAAAATAAATTCTATAACTAAAACCAATCTGCATTTTGACTCCCCATCATGACCAGTAAAATTTAATTTAAAACTCTCTTTTCATTAAAAAATCCACACATAATTAGCAGCAAATTAATTATTATTATTAATAATAATTATTAAAACTACAAATGAATATTATGGCAGGATGACAGCAGTTTTACAATGTGATGCTCTGTGTTTTTGTAAATGGTTCATTGCTAGATATTTCAGCTCAGTTGTTTCTATAATCCACCAATATTTTATATTAACACTTAATTTCAGGTTAGAAATGAACCCACTTCAGGTTAGATGCTAACTGCATTTCATTGGCTCTATGCTTGTATTCTGCACGATAATAAAGCTGAATCTAATCTAATCTAAAATATATAATTATACAACATTTTGTCATTCGGCCAAAAACAAGCAGTTTTCTCAAGCAGATCTACTGTCTACATGTCTTTAAAATGTACATAATTACATAGACACACACACACATACACACCAAGCACAGCTCTGTTAATAGCTGGATAATCACACAGGCTTTCTCCATAAAATAAGGAAAGACTTAAACATGCAGAATTGACTCATTTTATTTGTTAAATGAATGGATTTGCCGCCCAAAGTGAGCCTTGAAATCAGGCAAGATCCACTATTAGCTTCAGACAGATGATTTAAATTGAGAATGTGCCTGAACGTGAATGCTTTAATGACCTTCCCTGCTGGGAGACATTCATGCATGCTTATTTTCGCAGGAAAGAAATCTCTGCATGGACTACTTTGAGACAAAACACTTTTGCTCTGCTTTGACATGACATCATTTGAAAGTTTGACTCGTTTTTTACGATGTTAAGACGGTTCCTTTAAAAAGTGTTTATGGCGTTGTTACAATGAAACTCTCTTACACGGCTTTCCTCCCATCACACAAGTATCTGTTGACATGATCCTTAACACAGATATTATATGAGGGGAGCTTTTTAGCAATCTCCAAATTATGCAGGCACATTTGGACTCGTGCGGGTCAAGGCTGGCTGTAGCCATTACAGCTAATGAGTGCGCAGTCGTCCTCTCGCAGGTTCGGCCTCATAAACTTACTTAAAAGCGAACTAATGGAATCATACTGATGGATAGAACGCTGCAGGTTCTGTGTCATTACAGGATAACATGCCTCCGAGCATGTTAAATATACCAGCGCAATGATGAACCAGGAGTCACAGACAAAATGACGATCCCATGCAGATTACCAATGCCTATGAATACACAAAATGGGCAAATCTGTGCACGGCAATTTTAGTTTGCGATGTTATTTTCAGGTCCATTAGAAAAAAGGGTTAGAGTAGTTATCTCTGATTGGCTGTTTGGGGACAAAAAAAACAACAACCGTTATTACTGTAATGATATCGCTGTGTTTGATCAGTGCTCTTTTCAATGCCTAATCATAATTACCCGTAATTTTAACTATCGTGTTGAGTCTAAAAATAGCCATTAGAGGGGCGAATTAACAGAGAACTTAAAATGTGACGCGCTCGCATGCGTTTATTGTTAAAGTATGGTAACAGAAATCATATGTATAAAAAGCAACCAGAGAGAGAGAGAGCAAGAATATAGCAAAAGCGTATTTCGAAAGCCAGGAGAACGGTGAAGTGGACTATCGTCGGAGACACGCTGTGTCGCGCTGAGCTGACGAAAAGGCTTTTTTACACAGAGAGCATTTGTTTCTATATTGAGATGAGCACAACGCATTTTGTCCTCCTAAATGGGCCACGGCCACTTGAGGGAGTTCAGAGGTGTTTCAGCAGCATGCGGAGTGGCCATTGTGCACTGGCTTTTCATAGGAGTTGACTCAGAGCATTCCACTCCAACTCACCGCCAGATACCTGCAGCGGCTGAAATGCGTAATATTCAGCACAGTGCAAAGGAATCACTTTAAAAACCAAGTTTAATCTATTTCAACCAGGCCCAAGTGTTGTTCAGCTAAAGAGATTCAAGCAGGGTTAACACCAACATGTTTTGAAAACCCTTCACAGTCTTTGGCCACAATAAAGAGGATGGCTCTTTTTGTTTTCATGGAATGTCGCACTCATTCCGGAGTGAAGATTTCTGTTTGTTTTGCGCTTGCATAAAGGCATCTCTTTCAAACAAATTAACTGCTCATTAAAAAAATGCACCACGCTGTGAACTCAAGCAAAGAGAAGCATCAGTCGTAAAAATCGTCAAAGTCATGGCTGCTGGTGTTGTAGGACTGAGGACGCAAGGCCATTTCGATCTCAGAATTGCTGTCGTCAGATTCTCCCCAAAATGCTGCAAGGGAAAATATACCAGCGTTAGTATTCTGTAACGGTGATGGGGCCAGTGATGAGGTAGCCCATCAACATGATCTAAATGTAATTCACGTTGACAAAATAAATTAAGTTTAAACAATTCAGAGCAAAAAGATCAACAACATGTAAGTAAATATCTATGACATTAGAAATGTTATGTTTATGTTAGTCTACCAATGGTTATTTTACTTTTTAAAATAAAAGTGGAAATTTATCTTTGGCTTTAACACACAACCATATCAGCGTTTACATTACACATATCACAGATAAACAGGCAACACAATATGTTTAATGGTATCCCATAAATCACATTAAAAAGTCAATTACAACACTATACCTACTTAAAACCCAGTATTTAAAATTCTGGTAGTCGGCACAAAGGACATTTGATACACATTTGTGTTTTTGATGGCAAGAGCTAAAATTTTACATTTAAAAGAGAACCATCTTCAATAATGATGTGCTTTCTCTTTAATTCTCATTGAATACATTTAATTAGGTTGTCTTTGCACTTTACCTACAATTGCACTGGCAATTTTTACAACTCGACACAATTTTTGCTTTTCCTTAATTGGCAACATATTAAAATGCACAACACTTTTAACCGAGTTCTTGTATACCATCTCCAGAATATTTCATGTCCTCCGAGGACCAGAGGTTTCAACTTATTTCTGCTAATTATCATCTCCTTGGTTTTGTTCAAATTCATCTCCAGTGAACTACTCTTACACCAGTTTTGAAGCAAATTTATATTACTATAGTACAAAGTATCTCCCTCAGTTCCTGTTTTAGTCAACAAGTGTCATATCATCTGCATATTTAAATAACTTAGAAGCTAAATCCTGAATCTTAAGTTATTTTGTGTATAGAGAAAAAAAGTGTATTATCACAAAACGTGTGATAAAATGCTTCCTTGTGTAACTCATTTATTTACAATAATTGTTTTAAACCCCATAACGTTAACAACTACTCATTAAGTACGATTTAAAAGGAAATATTTAATCCACTAATTAAGATACTAATAATCACTTGTATATCAAGTAATCTTTGCAGAAGAATATCTATCCAAATTGAGTTAAAAGCTGGGCTAAAATCTAAAGATACAATCCTAACACTGCATAAAATGCAGGGTTCCACAAAATTAATTCATGTTGTCCCAACACAAATCGATTAAGTTAACACTTTTAACAAATTTTTGTGGATTGAACATAAAAAATTAAGTTGGCCCAATGAAATCTCAAGAATTGTGTTGTTTCAGCTTATTTTAATGTAATTTAAACAAGTAATATATATATATATATATATATATATATATATATATATATATATATATATATATATATATATATATATATAGTGAGTGTATTTGAACAAAAATACAGTAAAATAATTTATAGATCTATTTTTATATTAAATTCAATTACTATTTTTCTCTAATGGCAAATTTGAATTCTCTGTATAATTACCCTAATCTTCAGTGTCACACAATCCTTATAAACCAGATGCTGAAAATAGTTACATTTTTTTTTTTTGAGGAAACCATGATACACTTCTATTTAAAAAAAAGATTTTAAAGATAAATATAATATTATAAAGTATAATAAAAATATTATAAATATTACAAATACCATATACAATTGCATACATTTTTTCCTTTTGTACTTTTAATTCTTCAAAAAATCCTGAAAAATACTACAACTAATTAAATTAATCACAATTTCAGCAAAACTCTGGAATCTTAAACTGAGCATCAATGAAATTCTAGCTTTACCAATGTTAAACTACATTTTAAAATACATTCAAGCATGAAAAAAAATTTTAATTTGACTTTTTTTTTTTTTCAAATAAATAAGCATGCTGAGCATGACATCTTCCCCCAAATATCTAGATACATTTGACGAGTTGTACGTACAAAAAACAAAAGCTAAAAGCAACCGGTCTCAAAACCATGCTTTAGTTTTCAAAAGTGTTCTTACCCTTTGATTGGACAGCAGAGAAAGGTTTCGTCTTTACACTTTTCCTGTGAGAAACAAAAAACATCAAATTGTGAGATTTGCAAGTTTTCTACACACAATGATGTTTCCCAAATAAAAACAGCTAAAATCTCAATCAAAATGTTGAAACCGTATAATAAGAGTGCTCCTGAAACAGCATCATCTCTTCCCAAAATGTTGTTTTTTCTTTATTAGGCACCAAACCCAAAACCCTGAAGAGCACGATTTCCCCTTTCAGATGGGGCAAGTGGCCAAATAAACTTCCTTGACTTGTTTAGTAATGGCGCTGAAGGAGGTGGTGAGAGCTCTCCGAGGGCCGCCGGGTTCCCATAGCATCACTCATATCTCCATGTAAATGCACGACCCCTGACAAGCCTTTCATCAGCACTGATGCATATGCAGGAGCTAGAGATACTCTTCATTTACATCAGCTCAGTCTATTCAAACCTCAACAATGCCAATGTCTTCATCTTCACCCTCCACATCTTCATAGATCTATATCATTGATTCTGTCTACTTTCAAAGATGCCGAGAGCAAGAGTAAAAATATTTAGCTTCCCTTTGATGGATTTGGATGAATATATAAAACGGCAATAGTATGTGCATTCATGCGAGCAGCGCCGACCCTACGCCAAATCCAGTCACACGCACTCAGCCTTGACACTGACCAAAGCTGCTGTAAAGACGTAGTTGAACTCAATTAGGTTGGCTCTCATATAATTCAGCTTAGCTTTTTTGTTTCCAGAGCATCTCTGTAGAAGCTCCAGTGTTTCATATAATCTATTGATGAATGTATGCAGATGCTATGATCAGGGTCAAAGCGAACAAGTTACACAACTCACCTCTGGCTTCATAAGAATACAACTGCAAACTTATGAAACGCTGAGCATCAAAGTTACAGTCGGCTGACACAAAAAGTAGCAGAGAGATGCATTCGCTCCCTGGGTTAAGTGTCAAGACCGATATGAAGCCCATGAAAGAGCTTTCTGAAACAGATACTGCCGGATGAATTTGTTTTCAGCAAAGTTTAGAATAGACAGTAGACTAATCAATATTACGTTGATGAATTTGGTAACAGTGTTGTTTTCTTGTTCAAAATGGCTATTAATGACGTACTGAGCAACATCTTCATTTAAAATGATGGATTTTTGAGTTAAAATAAGTTGTTTTTTTATGTATTTGGTGAGCAGCTGGTTAATAAACAGACTGAATGACTGCACATATCACAAATTAGATTCATTTATTCATTCATTTTCTTTTCAGCTTAGTCCCTTTATTTATCTGGGGGTCACCACAGCGGAATGAACCACCAACTTACCCAGCTTATGTTTTACGCAGTGGATGCCCTTCCAGCTGCAACCCATCTCTGGGAAACATGCATACACACTCATTCACACTCATACGCTACGGACAATTTAGCCTACCCAATTCACCTATACAGTATGTCTTTGTGTGGGGGAATCTGGAGCACCCGGAGGAAACCCACGGGGGTTAACACGAGAAGAACATGCAAACTCCACACATAAATGCCAACTAACCTAGCCGAGGCTCGAACTAGCGACATTCTTGCTGTGAGGCCACAGCACCACAAACTGCGTCGGCCAAATTTGATTCATAAAGCTTTAAATTGATCATATGAAAATGAGCACTGCATTCATGGAAACTCAAATTAAGTTGGCTCAAATGTCATAATAAAAACGTTACTTTTAAATTCCTAAGTATTTTCTGTATATCTCTTTTATGTATTTTTATACATACATAAACACAGTTTTTCCAAGGTGGCTACCTTCTGCATCAAATTTTGTCCCAGCTCCGCCTTTTGACAAAAATCAGTCAGGCAGTCATGGCTACCAACAAACCCTGAGTGATGCACAAGCACTGGTTATGTATTAAATTACATTCAGTGTTAGCCTTTTTAAAATAAGACAGTGTTTTACTTGATAAGATTTACAAGAATAATGCAAAAAAGTGTTTGTTTCATGTAACAAAATGTTGATGATTACTCTGTAGCAAAGCCAAGACTGGAACTAATCTAACACCTCTAAGACCATAGTGCAATAAATGAGCACACAAAAAATATTCAATAAAATTAATAAATGGTAAAAAAAAAAAAAAAATTAAAAAAAAAAAAAAAAAAAAAATCGAAAGAAGCATAAATAAAAACAGTTAAAATTTTGCAGGTTTTCGCAACACCTCATTCGTATTTAAATGTTTTATCTTTCTATTCCCAAAGATGTTTAGGGATTACGCTCTTACAGTGCTCAGCATAATTAAGTACACCCCATTTTAAAAATAAATATTTTTATTAATTTCTCCGTGAATATAGGCAATGTGTTTTTGTGCATTTAAACAAAACAGATTTATTAAACAGATATATTTATTAAAATAATATTTTAGTCACCAAACATATTTAGAAATGAAAAGATAATACAATTAAATTCAGGTAAAATATTGCAAAAATAATAATAATAATAATAATAAAATAAAAATAAAAATTACAAGCAATAAAATTTCAACCAAATTTTCTACTTTTTTTTTTTTTTTTTTTTTGCTTGTCTTGATTTTTCCCTTTTTAAAATTTGTGTTTAATATTTAACATACATTTGTGTGTACTAGTTTTTTTGGGATAAGTTCTAGATTTGGCCGCAGTACTGACTAATGTTTATGCACAAATATTATATTGTATAGCTTCCTATTAAAAATAAATATAAAAAATAGATTTGTGAGGGGTGTACTTATATATGCTGAGCACTGTATTTAAACGGATATAACTTTAATAGAACTGTTTAATATATTCTCAATAAATATACAAGTGCTCAGCATAAATTAATAGAGTGCATGTTTTGAATTATTACATTTTTATACATTCCACAGTGTATCAGAAAAAGCTTACAATAAGCTTCCATTAGTTAATTCAAGGTAATGTATTTACTAACATGAAAATCAATGAACAATACATTACCATATTTAATAATATTTCTTAAGATTGTACTGTAAGTCACTTTGGACAAAAGTGTCTGTCAAATAACTAAATGCTAAAAGTAAATGTATTAGTTAATTAATTTACAGTGATTCATTGTTATTTATTGTTAATTCACATTAAAAGTCTAGATTTAGATTGTAATATTGCATTTGTAAATGTTGAACTACTTAATACATGCTGCACATTTGGTATTATTATTAACAATGTTAGCAGATGTGCTACTTTGCATGTTTGTAAACATGTAGATTCTTTTCAGAAGTTCAAGAAATCTGATTTTAAATAGAAAGCTTTCATAACATTTTTAAGCTACTTCTAATCAATTTAATGCATTCATATTTTTGGAATAAAAGTATCAATCTATACATTCATTTATTTATTTTCCTTTAGCTTAGTCTCTATTTCAGAGGTCGCCACAGCATAATAAACCTTCAACTATTCCAGCATATTCCAGTACTGAAAAACACCCATACAGACTCATTCACACACACTACAGCCAATTTAGTTTATTCAGTTCACCTATAACATGGGGAGAACATACAAACTCTACACAGAAATGCCAACTGACTCAGCCGGGACTCAAACCAGTGACCTTCTTGACGTAAGATGACAATGCTAACCACTGAGCTTTTAACAATTATGAATGCTATATCTTTTTTACTCTTTTGATTTTAATTATTATTGTTACACTGTAAAACCCAAAAAGTTAAGGTAACTCACTCCATTTGAGGAAATCAATTGCAAAAAACCATTTAAATTCGAAAAACTAATCCTAATAAGTACTGTGAACTTAATACATTTTAGTAAATGAAGCAATTTAAGTACAGTAAAACCCAATAAGTAAAGGCAACTCAAACCGTTTGAGGAAACTGATTGCTACAAACCATTTGAGTTAAAAAAATTATCTATACGAGTACTGTGAACTTACTTCATTTAATTAGAAGTAATAATGTTTTTAATTAACTCATTACCTTCCACACTGAGTTCAAAACTCTTTTCAAATGAGTAAAATTAACTTTCAGTAAATTTTAAATTAACTACACTCATTTCATTTGATAAAAGTAACTGTTGGGTGTTACAGTGTGTTATTAAATTCGGAAAAAGTTTGGTCTGATCTATAAACTTACCCTTCAACTGAGGTTTGGTGAAGGACATCAAACAGAAGATTATGATTAAAAACGCTTTCTGGAGTTGAAGAAAACACTAAATAGTCTGGAAAGTGGAATAAACTAACAACCAAGAATCATTCTTCTAATTTTCCATTTTCCTTTCTCTTTTTAAATTGAAAGCGGAGACAATGAGAGGCCTTTCTCTTTCCACACAAAGCAAATTTCCCCCTTTACTCATGATGAGTTGGATAATAAATACATGTTTGGGTGGGTAAATAGGGCCATTCCTTTCTATAACTTGCCAGGCATGGGAAAGCTCTATCAGCTGAGCCACTTCAGACAGTGACGAGTCTGATTTCAAGACACTATTACCATAGAGAGCTGTGAATGCCACTGACCCTTCAATCTAATATTCCATTTCCATAAACATTTATGCCAGTTCATCTTGCACTGAGGTTCACTTAATTGAGGCGACGGATCTGAATATGTAAGACAAGGCTGGCCACTGTTTGGCAGCTTCTCATACACAGAGGTGAACGTAATGTGTAAAATGATGCAAATTACTGCTTTGACGGCAATCTCTCTCTCTATTTCCCTCTGCTCCGACGTTTACTTTTCCCGTTCTGCCTCTGTTCCGCATTGTTTGGAGCATTTGGATGTATTTGCGATATTTGATGAAAGGTGGCCCTGTGCGTTTTTAGGCAGCATTTGATACATTAATATATGGGGTGTGTGGGTTGTTGTTATGATATTTGAGCTATGAATAAAAGACGTCTCTCTGCATCCTATGCAGGAATGAGCTTCATGGAAATAGACTGCGGTTAGTCTGCATTTGTTGTCTGGGCAAAGTGATTTTCATAATACCCGTGATCACGTACGATTATTGCTCTGCTATTGTGGTTGATGAAAGTGCGTCACAGTGGTGTTTTTCCCTTCG